ATGGCCAAAGGTGCAACTTTGTCATAGATTCTTCATCTCAGCAAACCCTTGTGAGCATCAAGGTGCTGGATCACAAAGGAGTATCAGAAGCTATACAGAAGCTCTGTGGTGTGACAGGACATTATGCAAAGTTGTGGGGACCAGTGTGAGTAACTATTGAGCTCATGGGCATGAAAATAGACTGAAAGCTTAAAACACTGATATTATACAAGTAAGTTAGGTTTTCTAAGAAAATTAGAATATTCTCAATTGCATAAGTATTCAACCCTAATGCTATGTCAACCCTTAATCAGTTCAAGTGCAAAAAATGAGTTTGAAAGGTCACAAAATTAGTGTAATGGTTTCTGTCTAGATGTAATCAAAGTGGTTTAACTTGACTTCAGACTAAAGGCATCTGTTCAAGCCACAACTCACAAAGTGATAAGATAAACCAACCATGAAGACCAAGGAGCTTTCCAAACAAATCAGGGATAAAGTGGTAGAGAAACACAGATCTGGAGAAGTTTACAAGAAAGTTTCAAAATCCCTTATCATCTCTTGGAAGACCCAGTTCAGGCCGTCCTTCCAAATTAAGTAGCTGGGCAAGCAGGAAATTGGTTAGGAATGCCACTGCGAAGCCAATAGTGACTCTGAAAGATTTGCAAGGTTCCATGTCTGAGATAGGAGTCAATGTTCATATATCCACAATATCCCGGTCCCTACACAAAACTGGCCTGTATGGGCAAATGGAAGAAAGAAGCCATTACTGAAAAAGATTTATCTTAAATCTCCTATGGAGTTTGCGACAAAGCATGTAAATTATACTGCAGACCTGTGGCAGATGGTTTTGTGGTCACATGAAACAAAAATTGAGCTTTTTGGTTTAAATTCAGCATCATGTTATGGGGATGCTTCTCATTAGTAGAGACTGGGAAGCTTGTCAGGATTGATGGGAAAATGGATGGTGCAAAGTACAGGCAAATCCTAGAGGAAAACCTGCTTGAGTCAGCCAAGAATCTAAAACTTGGTCGAAAATTCACATTTTAGTAGGACAATGACCCGAAGCACAAGGCCAAAGCTGCACTCGAGTGGTTTCAAAATAAGAAAGTGAATATCCTGGAGTACCCCAGGCAAAGACCTGACTTGAATCCAATAGAAAATTCATGACAAGACGTAGAGATTGCAGTCCATCAACGATCCCCAACGAACCACTCAGAATTGGAGCAATTTGACCGGAAAGAATAGGCAAAAATTGCACCGTCCCATTGTGCAAAGCTGGTAGAGACCTATCCATAAATACGCACAGCAGTAATTGTTACCAAAGGTGCTTCCACCAAGTACTGACATAAGGGGCTGAATGCTCATGCAATCAGCAAATTTCAATTTATATATTTTCTTTGCAGGTTTTGCTGACATTCAACTTCCTTCACACATAACAGTATTAAGTTTGATCATTAGAATTTTAAATAAAAACAAGTTCATAAAAAAAATGTTTATATTATTTGTATTTCATCAAAATGTGACATTATTGGTAGAGGGTGAATATGTTTTCAAGGCACTGTATACGTAGACTGTTAATGAAAACCTCTTGAACAATTGTGATATTGACACCAGACTCCAATGCTTGTGTAACCGTAGATTAATTTGCTAAACATCCATAAATAATATTATTTTAAACTATTTTGCAAATTATAAACAGAAATAAAACAACAACTTTCGTGTTTTAACCTATATCTTATTTTTGCGTAAGTTCTATTTTTTTATGTATGATTAGAAAAATATGTATCTAAAATTTCTAGATTGTTTGATCATGGTAAACATAGTAACAAAGAAAAATAATGAGACGGACAATTAAGAGTCTAAAGTAGATATGCAATTGATATTGTGCATAATATTTTGCTGCGGTTAATTCTCAATATTCTTGGAGAAGATTAAGACTTTAGTGCGCATGAATACACGGATCGTTACATGTTATGCCTTGACACTGAAACTGACCATTGAGGAAGCTTGTAGTCTTCAATGTGGCGTAGAGTTGGGGTTAACGTCAGGCTGCTTGTCTGCTGTCGGAAACATTAGCTTTAACAATTTTTAAAATTAAGTTTTTGTAACAATAGTTCACTCATCGTTACTTTAATATTAATTATAAGAGAGGTCGTAAACTTCTGATTTTTCGATAAAATGACGGAAAGAGAAGACAATGTGTATGAAGCTAAGTTAGCCGAACAAGCAGAACGTTATGATGGTGAGTGTGAGTAGGACTAGATCTAGTAGAACTGAAGAGTGAGTAATTTTAACGTTTAACTATAGTAATGTACTTAGTTATTCTGGATTCAAAGTAACGGTAGGCTTAGCAGTTACTTTACGTTTATTTAATCTTGACTTTAGCCTCAGAGTTAACATTGGATAAGTTATCTTACATCATAATAGTTTAGACCTAAACAGTTTAATTAGCTACAATAATTCGTTGTTATAAAAAAGTTATAAAACTTAAACGGTAAAATATTAGCTTCATTATTTAAAGTAATTAAACTTAAAGTTCTGTAGTTGTAACTTGTATTAGTATAATTTGTCTCCCCTAGTCCTACAAATACAATACTCACTATTATTGGCATTAAGCATGAAAAAAAAAAAAAAGATGATGCATGAACATTATCAGTCCCCTTAACAATTTTCTAATTATTCTTTTTTCAAGAGAAAATAATTTCAGGTATCTCAACCTGTCCTAGTAATAGTTGTATGACAACCTTTTCATCCCAGGTAACATCCTAATAGTAATACTAATATCCCTCCTCTGAGTCCTTTATAACAATTTTATGTCTTTCCTAAGGTAAGACATCAAAGACTGAACATACCTCAATACTATTAATTACAAGCTACCACATTATTTGTAGATTGCTGTGAACCAACAATTAAAACATAACTTAAGTGGGCTTGTTTAATTAAGTTATTGACTGACAAATACTTGTTTAATATATAAATAGTTTCTGAATTAATTTTATTATTTTAGAACATGTTTCTTGTAAAATAGAATTGTTAAAAAATGAAATGCATGACAAGTATCTTGTTTAAAAAGAATACCCTTCATTTCTTGAAATTATATCAGTTGTGTGTTGATACTGAGTGCAAGCTGAAGCATATCATTGATGTATGCATTTGACAACTTTTCCATTTTTATTGTAATTGGGAAAAAAAACCCATCATTTCTTTTTTTTTTTTCTCATTTCATATAGTTATAGAGCCCAAATAGCTATGTTTATATCTTGGACTTGTAAATATGTAGAGGCTTTATATACCTGTAAACTTAACAAATGTACTACAACTAAAAAGATATTGTATTTCACCATACACATGGATACAGGCTTTAGATTTAAAGAAAAAGGTTAAAGCTATTTTGGATTTTAAGATTTATCCTCAAATTCAGCTTATAATTGTTTTTAAACCAATATTTCATTTAAGTAATTCTTTTAAATTTAAAAAATATTTGGAAAATGCAATGTTCTTTTATCCCAGATGTAACCATGGCTACATGGGCTCTATAGTTCATCATAATTTTGTTAAAATGTTGTATATTTATAAAAAAGTTTTCTTCATTATACATTCAAGCTGTCTTCAGAGTTATGGGTTATACAGTTTGAAGATGGCTTGAATGGGTAATGTATGTTTCAGCAAACTTTTGTCAATGAAAGGTAATATAATTTTGGAAATGCAGTATTTAAAATTTAAAAAGAACTGTTTAAGAGGCCTACATAAGCACATTTCTGGCAGAAGTTCAGTTACCAGGTATTTAGATATTTACCAAACATGCAATATTTAACCTCAAGAAAAATAAAACTAACATCAGTTTATTATAAAATTACAGCCATATCTTTCCAATTTACATTGGATGTGTTTGTGAATCCTAGATGAGACGTTTTCACACATTAATGTGTTATCTAATGAACACAATAAAACTTCACTTTTTTTTTTCTTTTCATGAAAACCTCTTTTAAAGAAAACCTACAACTTTGAATTTGATTATGAGAAACTCATTGTAGGATAATCAAGTTTGGAGATGGCTTGAGTTGGTAATGGGGGAATTTTATTAGAAGTACAATGCTTGAAAAGATCAAAATGGATTATTGAGTACGTCATGTTAATGATCAGAAAAATTTTGTGATAGAAACAGTGATGTTGTATTGAGTAAATAATTTTTTAAGATAAAGAAATTTCCATGCATTTCAGAGGGGAAAAGTAGCTCTGTGTACTTGTAGCTTTCAAATTTTATGGATTAATAAAAAAACAAAAAACTGTTAATTCAAAGATAAAACTGTGTGCATACTTGCTTATGGATGCTGGATGATCACCATTCTCTGGATTTGTGAATTGATGAAATTGTTTTTTTATCCCTGGAGATGTATTCATGTTAACCTATTCACTCAGGACCTGCTACAGGAAGATTTCAATCTAATGTTTCTTATTTACTGGAAAATTTTTGGATTTACCCATAGTAAGTAGCACTACCCATGTCACTGGTCATTCATTCAAACACAAGAGAGGTCATAACCTCAAGATATACTCTGGCCTACCAATTGAGGAAGTGGTGGTTACATTCTTGTACAAGTTGCAGCATTATAGCCATACCACACATGGACAGAACAAGTGTGACCTCAACAGAATGACAAAGGAACAAAGACAGCTAGAACAAAATCAGATTAATTACCTGCTTGACTGTGATATACAAAAACTGTACAGACCTGGAATACACAACATTCTTAAAAGTTCTACATCAAAATAAGAAGGTAGAAAATGCCACACGGTATCTTTCAGACATAGAAGGTACTAGAATAATAATAAACTTGAGAAAATGTGCTACCAATATACTAACACTTTAGGTGACATATAGTATTAACAATTGTTGAACCGTATATAAGTGTATTCCCATCTGTTGAAGAAGATTAAAGAGGCATATCTTTGTATTTTTAATATATCAATATGGGCTGTAATTTTAAAAAATGAAGAAAGGATAAAATGACTGACTTTGCAATCTGTCATATCCCTCTCCCCAAATTAAAAACAAAAAGGTTTTATGTTTATGTGGAATTATTCTTTTGTTACACCAGTCACACTATTTTGTTTTAATTGCTGTTAATGATGTTTTAGTAATTTTAGTAAAGTTGATAAGGATGTGTCTGAAATTAGTGACACAGTGATTGTTTTGTAAGTATAATGATTGCATTGATAACTTATAATTGAAAATATTGAATGTTTGTATTTGTTTTTTAACTTTTAACAGAAAATCATAATCATCATGCCATATTAATGTTTATGCAAATAGGTTTAACTGATATTTTTCTTGATAAGTTTTCAAGTAAGCTGTTACTGTGAAGCATTTAATAAAAATGCTAAAAAAACTATTATAATGAAACCAGCAACAGGTTAGAAATTAAATTTATTTGTAAAATAATTACATATTTATTTGTCTTGTTCATTTAAAAATCTTTATATCATGTGCAATTAACTTTTAAAAATTAGTCATAAGAAAGGGCATAATTTTTAGATATATGCTGTACCCATTTTCTCTACTAATGCTACAGACTGTTTTACTGTAGAAAGTTATCTAGCCAGGGATCCATAAGCTTGTACTACAATTCAAACTGCAATATAAATATCCAGAAGTTGTGATTTGATTTTTTTTTTCAATGTACATTATTATGTTAAAAAATGCAATTATTAAAGTTTTAATAATTTCTTTAGTATTGGAATTGTTGATAGACTTTGAAAATGACAAACATTTCAAATATTCAGAAACAGATAAACTTCATAAGTATCCTTGACGATTGTTTCAGAATGGAGAATGGAAGTGTTGACATTTCTCACTTGAAATATGAAACTCTTGTATTGTTAACAAATGGGCAAATGTTATTGTTACTTATTTTTTTTCTACCAAACATTGTCATAATTTTTACTGTTGGTAGACAGAAATTGATAAGTGATAGGCAACTGAAACTGGTTTAAAACAAAAACTGCAGTATTAAGGAGATGAGCTTAAATTATTGAACAATTTATTTCCAGATTTTGTTATACTATATCTGGTAGTTCTTTTTCTATTTATGCAAAAAGATACATGATTGATGAAAATACAAGAGAAAGTGTAAAAGTTTGTTGTAAATTCAATTGTTTAGCCAGCATACTTTCTTGTAAATGTTTAGTAAAACATTTACGTTGTCAACTCCCTCGTCGTAACATAGTTTTTAATCACTAAACCATTTCAGATTATTTTATATCTGAGCTTCAAAAAAAGTTTTAACAATAATAGTTAAAACAAACATTTTTTAAAGTAAAAATATATTGACAATAAACAGGGATTGCGCTGTTTTTTGGTGTATTTATACTAAAGTATCAACTAACAAAATTGTTAGAAGTTTAAACAATACCCGTTAAGATCATCGGGTTTTAATTAAAGAATTGTTAGTCATAGTATATCTGTTTTTTTTATTAATTTTAAAATAAACAACTTTCCAAAAAATAGAATGATTAACATAGTTTGAAAGCTCTTGAGCAACAGAATAGGTAATATTCAGTAAAATGACAGTGTTTTAATAATTATTGTTTTTAGTGAAATATCTCTTCTTTAAATGTGATTTATTTTTATAACATTCTTGTGCCAGAATGTACCTTAAGTGCTATTATCAGGTAAGAATCTTGAAATCTAATGTAGACTGACTGAGAAGTGTCTTGAAGTAAAGAATGTTGGATAAAAGCAAAAGCATTTTAAATTTCCACAATATATGGTTGAATTAATGCTTTTTTCATTAGAAATGGTTGAGGCTATGAAGAAGGTTGCATCCTTGGATATTGAACTGACTGTGGAAGAAAGGAACCTACTTTCTGTAGCTTACAAGAATGTCATAGGTGCAAGGAGAGCTTCGTGGAGGATAATCAGCAGTATTGAACAGAAGGAAGAGAATAAAGGCAATGAAGGAAAGCTAGAAATGATTCGGCAATATCGAGTTAAGGTATTGTGCTCCCAGTTTCCCGATTTATTCTCGGATTACACTTACGTTAAGCCCAATAATAAGGTTTTCCAGTATTTTCATGCTTCTCACACCTTTTCAGAAAATCTTCTCAAGTACAATATTACATCATATCAGAAGTAAATATGTTTGAGTTGGATGGTTGATATGTAGGAAATTAACAAAATATTCCAAACACATTCAATACTAAGTTCTGTTCTTGTTTTCACACTATAAAATGTGTACTCAGCATCTGCCAAGATCATCTTTTTAAAATTGATCATCATGATGGGATCTAACCTGCTGTAAAAGTACTTTCGAGGCTTGACATTAATGCTGAACTGATAACCTAGAACAAGTAACAAGTGCATTTACACTAGTTATTGATATAACTATCTGTGAGTGATTAATGGAATCTACTTATTGATTAATCATTTTTTAAAATAAATAAAGTGACAGTGATCTCCGAGTGATTGTTCAAGTTGTTTCATTTGCTTAGTGTTTCGGCTTTGTCTTTGTTAGGAGCATACGTTTTCTGTAATGAACTCAAATTAAAACCATTGTGTTCTAAGAATGAAACCACACACAACAGTATTTCATGCATGTGATCATTCCTATTATTACAAAGCCCGTGGCACCTATATAAACAATATGATATTAATGTTGTTATTATATAAAGAAATAACATTTTGTATAACAAAATAAAAGTCTAAATGGGGAAGTTTAATAAAATCAGACAAACTGAGTAAGTAATTTTTAAGCTATTATCTACATCAGTGTTTTCCAAACCATGTACCATGGAATTTTTGCAATTATTAATTAATTTTGAATAGAAACTAATAAAAAACCCTTTAACCCTAGCATTTTTGAAAGGTGGATCTTTCTTCTTCTTCAGGGGCAAGAGTTCTTGAACCTACGTGTTTTTCTAACATCATGAATAATTAATTTTTCTTTAGTAATGGAAATTAATTATCATTTTAATACATTTTTAAAATTTAATTTATTTTCTCCTGTAATGTACAGTATAACAGTAATTTCTGCCCGTCTTAGTCAAGGGGGTGCCACTAGGTCTGCCATACAGATTTGTTTGGGAAGCTCTGATTTACATATTCAAAAAAGAAATAGAATGTTTAGATGATAGGCTCAACCAAAAAAAAATGGTTTTACTAAATTGTGTATAATATGAATATCATCATAGAACTGGCTCTTCTGCTCATATTATGACATTTCATAGAGTAAAATTCAAAATGTAATTAAACAACTTTATTATCAATGTATGTCAGTAAAATTAGCATCAGAGTATAGTCTTTAATTCAGATTTTTGTATTATCTAAGTTCTAAATTATCAATTTCAAGAAAAAATATTTCAAAAATTCTCAGTCTTCTTTTCTTGGTATCACATGACACATCTGCATTCTGAATTCTCCTTTATTTATTATATAAGTTCAATATTATAGGAACTACCTGTCAGAATTATCCCAGACATGATGTATATTCCAAGGTCCAATGTATGTGTTGTTAACTTCTCCTTGTAGTGAGAAACAAATCTCTGTCCATCTATACTCAACTTTCAAGGCAGTTTTCAAAACCATGCTGTTAGTTGATGTACATGTTTATAACCAAAAAAAATTAACTTATTTAAACATCAAGTCTTTAATGGTCCTGTTAAAATTGGTGTAGGTTAGAGGATTTTATTAAGTATGTTTTATTCAAGTTGATACTCACTCATAGCATTTAACAGATTTTTTTTCTTTAAGTAGGTTAATTAGAAAACCAGCTAAATTATAGTTGTTATTGGACATTCTATTTTAGTGATTTATGTGTTATTTATGTTTTTCAGTCCATATTTGAAAGGTAAATTAATCTTTGTTACCAAAGGCTTCGAGACAAAAATAATTAGGCTTAAGTAGCTACGAGTACATGAACCCAAAACTAAAAGTGCATGTACATAAGTGTATAAACATCTGCTATTGTGATGTGTCATTCTTCAGGTATAAAAAAAAAAAGGAACTTTGTACAAGCCAGGCAATAAAACTACAAAGTTAGAATAAAATACTTGTGAAAAGGTAAATTGAAATTCTGAAAATAATGGACTTGAAGATATTATAACAAATAATTCATTCAAAGAAGAATGAAAAAAAAAAGACAGTTAATTTTACTTCATAATTTTCAAAGTTTTGTATCACCAAACATTGATTTAGCTGCAGTTAATGTTGGGGTAGAGAAAATAACAGATAAAATATAAATTTTTACATTAAAAAAACGTTTGGTATTTATTTATGAGGCTATAGAGGTTAAGCAAACGAAATATTAAAATAAAATGTAAAAAAAAGTATTTTTGTTCTTGGCATAAAAATTGCCTTTTAATCAGCTTGACTCAGTGATGGCTTCTGAAATTCACAGAAAAATTTTTGCTATAAATAATTTATCAAATAATCTGATTTTTTGTACACAGCAGACTTGTAATGTTTATTAAAAGCTTGCCAAATTTCATGAAATACATTATTTTTCAAGGATGCTTGGTGAAACCTAACTTCACAAACTAAAGTAAATGCCATACTCAACAAATAAAACCCTCATAATTGTGGATACTAAATTTTATGGTCCTTGAAAGAAGCATAAGCCCAATTTTCCTGTAAGGTATGTTGTGTCAGAGTGTGGATCACCAGCAGAAGGTTTGTCATGGTTGATGAAGAATATCTGAATCTGTACTATATTCTTGTTATAAAAAATATTTAAGTATTTTCTAAAGTTAAAACATTAGAAAGCTAATACAAGCCCGGCTCTTCTGTACGTCATGACTTCTTATAGAGTTAAATTCAAAATATTTTAAACAACTTTATCAATGTATATTAATAAACTCTGCATTAAAATGTAGTTTAAAATTCAAATTGTAATATTATGCAAGTTTTAATTTCTTAATATCAAAAAGAACTATTTTAATAAATTCTCAATCTTCACTTCTCTGTAACAAGTGACACTTCCTCTCTTCAAATTGTTCATTTCAGACTTTCTTTCTACCCCTTTATGATTTTCTGAGTTTGGCAAAAAAACTACACACAGTGCAGGTATTGGTAATCTGTAATGTAAACTTATAATCTCCAAGTTTCTTGCTTTACTGAGATGTAAGCAAGAAAGTCAAATCCACACACCTTGCTCCTCCTGTGACATTGTGTCTTTCATAATAGTCAGTAATTCTCTCTCTGACATTGGATATTGGATCATTTATAAAGAAGGGAAAGAGAAGATTTCACTTTACAACTGTTTACAAGGTTAGCTCATTTCAGATGAGTTTTGAAATATTTGACCACGGTTTCATTGTTTGCTGTTGAGAAGATCGGATAACAGCTAACAGAATTTTTTAACCAACTTATAGCTTGGTCAGAAAACTATTTAAATTGTACTAGTTTGTGCATAATAATATTTTGTTTTCTTAATTGCATACGTGAAAAGAATAAACATTTTATTCAACCCTATCCTTACAAAAAAAACATTGCATTATGGTTCTCTAGTCTTCTCGAGAGCAACAACAAAAAAACTGATATTAGTACTAAATTTCTGGTTTTATTTTTTATTTATTGTCATAAAATTAACTATTATGTAAAAGTTAGAAACTTGTTAGGTTAGATAAGAAGAAAATAAAATGTTTCTGCAAGGTGCTGACCTTGATGCTAAGTTTGTGCTGGATGATTTATTGCTCTGTTATGCCAGTTAGACATAGTTACATGGTTCAAAGAGCATTAAACAAAATTAAATGAAAACAGATATAAACTGTTACAAGCCTGATGCTGTTTAGGATTAGTAATTGTAATTTTCACTTATAGTATGCAGGCATTCTAAAAAGAAAAAAAATTATAATTTAAATTTATTTAATATTTTTCAGCTTTTTGTTTTATAGTACATAGCTGATTTTAGTACTGTTAGTGTGATGTAGTGAAAATAAAATATAACGTGTTTCTGAAAGACTATTCACTTAGGAGGCTCTAGAGGTTATACAAAAGAAATATGAGAACTGTAAGATGAAAAATGTATTTTTATTCTTAACATGAAAATCACCTTGCGCTCAGACTAGTCAAATTCTGAATTAGAATCACACAGTAAATTTGCAGACAAATTTTGAGAAAAAATTGTGTTTTTTTTGTATGTAATATACTTATAATACTTACTAAAAGCTTATCAAATTTCATGAAAAGATACATAATAAATTTAGAATTATAGTAAGAATTAATTCTTTAATATAGAGTTGGTCTAATGGACCAACTCTGTGCTTGTAGGGATAATTCAGTCATACGTGCCACTGGTAAAATCTCAATTTTTTGTCTGATATATATATAATTTAGATAAATTTTGTTCCTTTGTGCTTCAAATTTTATGAAACAATCTTGCATCATGGATGTGAGGATAGTTTGTTATAACCAAATTTTATCCTGTATGGAGTTTGGAGATTCAATATTTAAACATGCTTCCTCAGGTCAAAGTTCAATGTTCAAAAAAGAATTGTAGGTCAATAAACTTTAGCTCTGGGAGAGACTATTGAATAAAATAAATCCTGGGAAAATTGTGAATATTTCATCTTTGCAATATCATTGTTTAAAAAATGCATACCGATTGTTTCTCATTATATTTTTGGTTGACATTGATTGTTAAAATTTGAGAAATTGTAATATTTAAGGTATGCTGTTTTCTCTTCATTTATTTAGTTACAAACATTCATTACCATGAATTGTAGCAGCGTGACATTTATGACATTCTTGGACCAGCATATTTGTGGCACAAGCTTTACCATCTTTCCACTATGTTGACATTGAAGTTAAACATTTTTTTTTTAATCCATTCCTATAAAATGGTCAGGTGATGTATCTAGATAAATATGTGATTTATTGTCTCAGTTAATAGTTGTTTTAATTTATATAAAAGTTTAAGATTGAAAATGACATAGTGATGTAACATACAAATGTGGTTGAATAGAAATGCTAGTGTTTGAAACTAAGCTTTATGGCTTTTTTTTTTCAATTTTCAGGTAGAAAATGAACTTCGTGACATTTGTCAGGATATATTGGATGTCCTTGACAAACACCTTATCCCTGCTGCTAACTCTGGAGAATCCAAAGTGTTTTATTACAAAATGTAAGTCAGTTTTCGTGGTTCTTGTCGACACTCAAAGTAATATAAATGCATCACTGATAAATATATGAATGCAAACTAAATGTCAGAATTTTTTCTTTCCTTTTTTGTAAAATTATACAGATGTTTAATATGTTATATTAGAATAATTTTGGAGCCTCACAGCCTCTTTACAATCCATATCATTACATCCAGTCATGTCCTATATGATTCTTATGAGAATTGACAATAGTACTGCAGCATAATTTATATTGCAAAAGGCTCTATCGTAAGTTGTCAGGTATAAAGCACACACCATCTTCCTACCATGTTCCATAAGCCATCTTATATACATGGATATCAGTTTCCCAACACCTATTTCAATATTCTGATTGCACAGACATCAATTGGCAATGCATTCAGCAACTTGACAGGTATGTCTTCATATGCATTAGCATGAATAGCCATTTCATTTTCCAGCTGTTTGAGGTATGCAGAGTTTGAATAGATATGTTGTGGTATCAACTTCGTACATGTGAGTTGTCACTTTTCCAGATGGTGGTCCTTCTTGTTTATGTTGCATACTGTTGCCTGGGCTATTTGAATGGCTTTTGCCATTGACCTTCATGCTTGTGGATTTTTGCCTGTTACAAGTGCCTTACATTAATACCATGGTTGAGGTGTGACTTGTTGCAAGTCTCTGTCTGAATGTTCCTGTGGTTGCAAGTTGATCCATATTTTTTTAATTCCTTGTCTTGTAAGTTCTTAATTCCCATACTGAGCATATCTTTATGACCTGAGTGTATAAAGATTTTTCAGTAAGGACTGTTGTATGTCATTCCCAAAAGTGTGGTATCACACTAAATACGAAACACCAGACATGTAGTTATGATATGTGCCATTCCACCACAATTTTATATTAGCTGTGCTTATCACATGATCGGCTCTTTCCATATTCAAAATCATTTTAATATAACACTCGATACTCTTTTAAGATATATTATAATATTTCTCAATGAATTTTATATTATTCTTTAGCTAATTGGAAGATAGGTTTTTTACTTAGTAACCAGGTGGAAAATTATATTAGTAATATATACAAAAATAATTTAAAGTTCATAAATATCACAGGTTTTTCACTGTTTTGAAAGTCTCTTTGAATATATATATGTAATTCATATTTTCAGGAAACTTTCATTGAAATTTTAACAAGATAATGTTTAGTAGGCCTAGTTACGACAACAGTAGCATTAAATTTTGTTTTTGTTTTTTTTTAGTAAATAAAATAAAAAGCTTAACGTACAGGTATTTCTCTTTCTAGAGGGTTTCTAGCTGGTAATTGTTAATAAAGCAGCCATTTTTGCCAGCTTTTCTGAAGTGGCAAGCCATTTTATAGCATTTGGTGCCTTATTTTTTACCCTGGTTATTACAAAAACAGTAAATTTATATTCAGGGGGATGTCAAGTTTTATAGTAGAAAGGGCATTCTTCCTAAGGGTTGAGGTGTTCCTTTTAGAAGGGGATCAGAATCATATAACTCAAGGTCTTTGTTTCTGGAGTGAACTGAAAATATCCCATACAATTGTTTATTTTTTGTGCTAGTGTTTAAACAGTGCTCTGCATTAGCTTTTGAAATACTAGCCTATTTGGGCTGGTGATTATAGTAGGTCAGTAAACCAGGACTAGCCATATAGAACTTTGTTTTTTGTTAATAGAACAATATGTACACAAAACATGAAGGTTTTTCTTGTTACTTCATTTTTACTTTCAAAAATTAATTTGCAAATATAGTTAAACTCAAGACTGTTATTGTTTCATTGGTAATTATTAAAAAGTAAGCTAGAACAAATTTGTAGTTGCTAAAAAACACAATATTCAACCCTTGTTACAAGTTTCAACTCTTGTGTGTGAGCTAATAGGGGTTATAATTCTTGGCTAACATGCAAAGGTGCTTTATCTATATTATGTCCAATCAACACATTTCAGATGTGTCACTTACCCACCTGAATATCAGATTTCAAGTTAAAGTACAAAATAGTAGTTCCAACTCTAATTCAACAATTTTTAACTAAAAAGTATTTAGCATTTTGTAAAGTTTAATTGTGCAGCTCTGAGCAGTCACTTATACAAACACACTTATAAATTTTTTAATTGAACTTATTTTCACATCCCTAAGAATGTAATCATCCATATTTCTCACATGATTTTTCTTCTCTTTCTTCTGTTTTATTAGTATATTCTCTTTTATTATCTCTCAACTCTGATCTTAACAACTACTAACAAAACTCAACTTCGAAATAGCTACATGTAAAGTTTGAATGCCATTTGATAGGGCAGATAATACACTACTTACATCATTGAATAGTGAATGAAGGGGTGTGAGAAGTAATTTGTTATTGTGGGAAAGTGACGTGAACTAGTTCCTACAAGGAAAGAGAACATAATCTACTGTGAAGTTCAGAAAACTTGGGAACAAACCACAGATCTACGGATTTTTTTATATTAATTTGTTATTGTGGGAAAGTGACGTGAACTAGTTCCTACAAGGAAAGAGAACATAATCTACTGTGAAGTTCAGAAAACTTGGGAACAAACCACAGATCTAGGGATTTTTTTTTATATTAATTTTTTATTGATATAAAGTTTTCATGTTAAGCTACAGAAAGTTTCTTCTAGACAGGACATCAGGTAAGCTTAGTTAAGTTTAGTAAGTGCAGTAGGTGACAACTGAATATTCTATTGATTCAAATCCCCATCTATTCACTAGTAAGGTTGACAACTGAATATTCTATTGATTCAGATCCCCATCTATTCACTAGTAAGGTTGACAACTGAATATTCTATTGATTCAAATCCCCATCTATTCACTAGTAAGGTTGACAACTGAATATTCTATTGATTCAAAGCCCCATCTATTCACTAGTAAGGTTGACAACTGAATATTCTATTGATTCAAAGCCCCATCTATTCACTAGTAAGGTTTTCAACTAAATATTCTATTGATTCAAATCCCCATCTATTCACTAGTAAGGTTGACAACTGAATATTCTATTGATTCAAATCCCCATCTATTCACTAGTAAGGTTGTCATATAAATTTAACTCACAGTTGAACAGCTTTTTCTTTATTGAAAATAAATGACAAAAAAAATGTTTACCTAGCCTGATCTTATGGTATTTTGAGTAAATGTTTATCAGTTTATGCTGTGTTTTTTTATGATTTATAGCTAGAACTGATGACTTACTGCAATTAGCAAAATAAATGTTATTAAAATTGAGTAGTGGAAATTAACTGGATATTTAAAATAGACTATTGTAATGAATATTTCAAAAATTGAAGAAAAAAGGAAGTATTTTTAAAGTTTTTTTTGAAAAAAATCTTTCACGGCAACAACCAAGGCAAATTATATGAATTTTTTTAAAACCATAACTAAATATTATTTAATAAATTTGTTCTAAGCTTTGTGTAATATAAGTATTTCCATTGTGAGAAGGAACCCTCACCCCCCTCCAAGTCTAACGATGGTTAAAAGCTAAAGGTGTAATTGTAGTTAACATGTGTTTTAAAAAATGCTATGTATAATAATCACAATGATAAATAAAAACAAATTTTTTAGAGTCTTGGCAGGCAGAAAACAAAATCACATATTCAAGTTCTAAATTAACTATTTTCACTTAGATGGGTGAGGCCTTAACCTGATCATATATTCTAAAACAAATTATTTTGCACTATGTATTTTTTTTTCCAGATTTTTCAGCCACAATTATAGCCATAAAACCATTAATATGTTCAAAACAGAAATATGTCCAAAGTCAGTTTGGCTACATATGGTACTACAGTTCTAGTGTCTTCGGAACAACAGAATGAGCAAAGTCAATCTGCAAAGAAATAAAATAAGTTTCTGATTGGCTCTTCAGTTACTTCCTCTTCTGCTTTCAGAAGTAATTTGAACATGCTGAATTTCAGAAATTAATATCAACATTTTGCCATGAAAAAAGGAAAAAATCAAATCTGTGAATATATCAAAATGTTAAAAGTAAAACAGATATTTAATCTTAGATAACTCTTCCTTGAAACCATAAATGTAATGACAGAATCACAGTAAAAAAATTAGTTTTAAATTAGAGATGTTATGGCAAACCTTTGTTTGAAAAACAGACGATGAATGAAGTTACAATAGTTTAAAATTCACATAAAGGTATTAGAGAAAAATTAAATAATTAAATTAATTAAATATACTGTGTTGCTAACTTTACTATCACTAGCCCAAGGACAAGTAAAATATGCATTTGGACACTAGTCTGATAGGGCTACTGGCTCGTATAACTTATTTTTTCTGTTTTTCTCTAAGTATGTTTTTTTGTAAGTATAATCTCGAGGTTCAGTGTTTTTTGTACTCCATTACTCACTTTATTGTTGGTTGCTAAAATCAATTTAAATTGGTAAAAACTAGTACGATTACCACATTTCTAATTTTGGGCAGTATTTTTTAATCAATGGGTTCATAACTAAATTTAACTTCCAGTGTTTTATATATTCTTACTCTTGTCATCTCCATGTAGTAGTGACATGGGGCTGAGTAATCAAATCAGTTGATATAATTGATTAATCAATTAATTAAAGTAGTGTTTCTGATTATTCTAACTATCGATGTCTCGTGAGAATAAGAGAAGTTAATTGTAATTGGTTAATGATCCCAACATGCAAGTTTCACTAGTGAGAATAAGAGAAGTTAATTGTAATTGGTTAATGATCCCAACATGCAAGTTTCACTAATTGTCCAGTTCTAGAGTGAATTAACTAATTCTTTCTGAGTTAGTTGAGTCCAAATTTGAGGGTATCCTTTCCATGATCTAAAAACAAATTTAAGTATGAATTCTGGTGGTCTTTTGATAATCGGTTTATCATGTTGTTTATTTCCAATTTATCATTCAGTTTGCTAATGTAATTTCTGGTCTGATTCATTACTAAAATAAAAAAAAATTAAGTTTGATTATTTTTTAATAATTTTGAATGTATAACTGTGACATTTATAACTGTGGATAAATTTTGTATGTAATCTAAAGAAATTTAAGCTTGAATTTTTTTTATTACACAGGTTTAAAATGTTGATCCTAAAATATTGATTTAACTACACTGTAATGATCAAGTTCTTTATATTTTGGGGTAACTTTGTATTACCTAATAAACACTGAAGCTTTCGACATGAAATAGTCTGATTGCATTATTGTATCTCGAGCATATGGAAGTTTTAGTTTTAACTTACGTAACGCTTTCATTTCTCAACTATTCAGACATGTTAAACTTGCTTAATCATTTGTTTTTGTTTGTCTTATAATCGTTTGAATAACTTGTTTAATCTCTATTTTAATTGTCAGTTTATTTTTAGAGTTTTATGCAGAGGTTTTTGTCAAACTGGGTAATATTTTTTTTCCCATACCTAGGAAAGGAGATTATCACCGTTACCTGGCTGAATTTGCTACCGGAAACGACAGAAAAGAAGCTGCTGAGAACAGTCTCGTTGCTTACAAGGCAGCCAGCGACATTGCTCTGACAGAACTTCCACCAACTCATCCGATCCGGCTGGGTCTGGCTCTTAACTTCTCGGTGTTTTATTACGAGATCCTTAATTCTCCTGACAGGGCATGTCATTTGGCTAAGGCAGCATTTGATGAGGCTATAGCTGAACTGGACACACTAAGTGAGGAGAGCTACAAAGATTCCACCTTAATTATGCAGCTTTTACGCGATAATTTGACTCTTTGGACATCCGACATGCAAAATGATGGTAAGTTAGGTTTTTCGTTTTTAAATATAATGCTGAAACTAAAATGTTGCATTTAAAAAAGCTTAAACTTTTTATAGAAATTATTAAGGTGAAATTACTCAATTAAAATACAGTGGAAATTATTACAGTTTAAAAAAGAAAAAAAATAGTGACTGTTGACAAAAAGATCTCATCTGTATTAATAGTAGGCAAATATACAGTATGGTGGAAAGTAATATAAAGGTTATCGAACAACAATTAATGTTTATGGATATATATTTCAACACTTTCATTCAATCAAACATTTGTTTGTGATAGAAATGCATTCATTTAGGCTATAGGTTGTAAGTCCTAGTTGGATACGTAATGATCAAAATTATTCCTAGAATGATCACAAAAAGTAAATATAGTATATAGTCATGTTTATGGGTTTTGGATAACCATTTCTGGTAATGTTGTTCTTATTTTATTTTTCAAAACCAAATTCAGAATAAAAGTACAGGTTTTGCAATGATTAGGTCATTGGTGTATGTTTAACATGATATTGGTTAGTCTGTGTTATTACATATGTTTAGCCAAGTATTTGTTTGTAAATAAAAATGCAACATTTGTCTACCATCAAGCTACAAATTCCATGTCCTGAAGATCTCTTTTTCATGATATTGTAGTCTGAAGTAATCATCTTTCGAAGTTTGTTACCAATTATAGCCAGATTACAGGTTAAAGTAATATTAATAATATGGAGTTATAAGCAAAAATATCAGTGCATGTCATATGCATGGGTGAAAGTGTTCCATCTGTAAACAAGTTCATTAAAATGGGTTTTTCCAGGCATGATTTAAATCTGATGTGATTTAAACACATTTTTTGCTCTAAGCCTCTGACCATTTATATTTGTACAAGGAAAAGTGTCATAAATGGTTAATTCATTGGTATGTTTTTATATGTGCAACTGAGGTTTTAACAAGTTAATTGGGTTAACGAGTGAAAGGTTTGAATATTAACATATAAAAAATTTAACCATCTTTGTATAATTGTTAGGCTGGTCTACCGGGTAATATGACAAGTATTAACTGATGTTTGAATTTTTTTTTCCAACAAAGTCAAGTTAAAGTTAGGTTCTGAAAGTTGTCTAAGATGAGAAGATTATTAAGAATTTTATTAAGTTTTACCTTTTTTTTAATGGTGAAATTTGTTTTTAAATCATAATTATTTCAAGTTCTAGAAAGATGACAAACGTGTTGGTAAGGTTTCTCACCACTTAAACATCAGACTTTGATACAGGCAGTCTTCAGAAAGTAAGACCTGTGTGTTATTTATAAGCTACATTTTTGTTTGGTTTAGATACATTATACTGCACTCACCACTAATAACCCAAAATACTTCACATGTTTGGATAATGTGGCAGACTGTTACAGTAAATTATCTATTGTTATTCAGCTGATTAAGTGCTTATTTATTTGTTAAATAAATAACCAGTTACTCTTTTTACTGATATTTCATCTCTTGTGTTTCAGAAGGTGAAAATGAACAACAACAACAAAAGAAAGAAGAGGATGTTCAAGATGTTGAGGAACAGGATGTGTCTTAAGTCATGCTCCAAAATGTATCTAGATTTGTTGAAAAATTACTCATTAACCTTGTATGAAATAGTAGATTTGTATTCTTTTTGGTTCTTTTAGTTATGTACATGCATGAGCTGATCTTGTGAATAACCTGTAGAACAGGTATTGTTCTATGTTGTTTGTCATTTCGACATATTTTGATCCCTCTGTGTAATACTTGTGTGTGTGTTAACCCTCAGTCTGACATCTGTAAAACACACTAAGCATGTTAACTAAATCAAAATATAATTATCTGTGCTTGTTTCTTTTTTTATTCTTATTAAACATGCACCATTTTCACTCTGTTCCCAAAAGAAGTAACATCGGAAGTTATTGTACATCTGGCTTCTCCAAAAAAAAAAGGTTGTTTTTGTGAAATTAAACTGTAATATTGGAGACAAAAAAATGCTTATCTTATATTTCTGGGTTTTGATATTTAATAAATTCCAAAATTGTTTAAAAGTGCCTTGATTTTTTGTAAATGGTTTTATTTCTAACACTCCTAACAGAGTTTGTTTTTGTGTTTTTTTTTTTTCATGTGTGGTGATTTGCAACTCAAATGATGAATTATTGCTCTAACAAAGAAAAATCGTCACTAGTATTTAGTTTTGTAAACGTATTTTTTTTAACAGTTTTAGGCTTTTGAAAGTATATGTGGTGTTCATTTACATTAGTTGTTTTCAGGTGGCTGTATGGTTAAAGTGACTAACGTCACAGTCACGTACGTTTCTTTTCTAAGCAGGAAATCTGTGTTGTTTAGCATTTGGTTTATGAAACAAGAATTTCCAGAAACAGTTTAGTTTAAGTAGGTTTTTAAATCAGTATGCTGCCCTGACTTTTTACACAGCTGGAAACGTAGATATAAGACACTTTCTGTAGTTTATATTTAAAAATTACTTGTAAGAGGTGAAATAATATAAGGTTAAGATGGAAATACTTTGGAAGGAAGGAAAATATTACAGGGCATTTTTGTAATACACAAGTAAATTATTCAAGGTAAGGAATTGTGCAAGACTTTATTTTTTAAATTAGCATCTTTTGTGTGACACTTAACCAAACAGAAAAAATACCTCAATTTTCAACACTGCTGTTTGTGTAAGTATTTGATGAAGTGGTTTAAGGGTAGTATTCAACCAGTAATTTGTATTAAGTAGAAGTATGAATTACAAAAACAAGTGACACAAGTAATGTTAATGAACTTCTTACTGGGTTTACAAAGTATGATAATATTTTTTTCTTATTCAGCCTGCATATGTACTTATTGTATATAGCTGAACAAAATAAGAAAACTGTGTTCTGCTGATGTATTTATCACACATTTTCTGTTGCTTATGATACAGAAATAAGGTCTTCTATATCGATAAGGTGTTGATGTGAAGTTATAAGAATACCGATTAGGACATTTTTGACAGTTTGTGGTACAATTTAAAGTCATATTTTTTGGAAGCTTATCACTTTGGATCATTCAAAATATTTTTTTTTTCTTAATACTATTTACTCTAGTAATAGCTGATTTTTTACCTTTATTAAAATGAATAATAAAAGTTTAAAATATTCACTCTCAATAACATAATTATTTAGTTTTTCTGTTGCTTAAAAAGAATATAAATAGTGTGATATTTTGAAAAGAATCCCTAATATATATAATATGGAAGATGATGATATCCACAAAAATTTAAATCCATTAGAAAATTATATTTAAAAAGTGGACCTGATAGTTATGGTACATATAAAAAAAAAAAAGTTTTAGTTGTCTATTGGATATTATTTGTTTCAGTTATGTTGGTTTGATTTTTGAAAATAGGAATATATGTTAGTAGAATATGACAAATCTTTGAGTGCCCAAATACACTAAAAACAATCTCAATATCGAGTTTTTGAGTATATTGACAAATTAACATCTTATAATGGTTGTGCTGGATTTGTTTGGAATACCCAATTCATGGATGTTTATTAAAGTTGAATTGGGGGGGGGGGGTAACAACAACATTTTTTTCACGATTTGTTTAAGCAACAGTTGATTCATAAATCTGCATTGGTTGTATCTGTGGTTCATAAGCCTTCTCTGGTAGTACCTGTGGTTCACAAGTCCCCCCCTCGTAAAGTACCTGTGGTTCATAAGATATATGCTGAGGAGCAACATTTTGGCATAGTTGTACTTGCACATTACTAAAGACACAGTTGTTTCTTGGTCAGTGCTAGCAAGGCAGACTCTTAACTAATAGCAAACTGTATAATTTGAAATATTTTTAGTAAAGCATGGTTGTATCTGAAATTTTGTATCAAATTTTACCACTAAACTTTTTTTGTCAATATGAAAGTGATCGTAGTATTGTATAAGAAATACTGATTAACTTCTCATGTTTCTTTTCCTGAATTGCAATAGTAACAACAAAAATGTTTAAAATCACCACTTAATCTCATCCACAGTTTGATGACCAAAGTATTTCAAAAATTCCCTTTTTTTTTTTGTTGTTGTTGTTGTTCATGATGCACTATTTTATTGTGAAAACAAAAATCATTGTATTGAAATTTTAGTTTACCAAGTGTTTGTTTCTTAAGCGTCAATACACTTATTTTGTATTTTTGATCTTCGTTATGGTGGCTAAAGTCTGTTAAGCTTATGTTATGAAAATATTGACTTCAGTATTAAAAGGAGTTAAATATAATGAATGTATATTAAACATACGTTTAGATACATTCCAAAATCATCTTATTACTTTGATGTAATATTCTCACTTCATTATATATAGATTTAAATTCACCAGTCCCAAAGTTAATAGAAGTCTGTGTTATAATTCAGAATTGTGTGTTATAAGCAATACTTTGTACTTAAAAAATATAACATTTAAAACACCTTTAAAGTGTAAAATTGGGAAAGATATGATTAAAAGAGGAGTAGATGTAATTTGGCTCTAGGATATTTTGGAAAACTACCCATGATACACCACAAGCTTCACTTTTTTGTATTGGCATCATTTTACTTTGTAAATGCCTAATTTTTGTGTGTATTTTACCAAAGTCAGTAAAGCTGGATTATAAGCATAATGAAATTATTCAACAAAATCACCGTTATTAATAAATTCTACTTCTTTGTTTTCTGTTTGGGGAGATGGAGTCGTGGTGTGTTCGTATAATATTCATTCGTTGGTGTTGTATTATATAACTGAACCTGTTTTGGAGCACAACTTTTGAGCAATTACATTGTTTATTTCCTAACAGAATTTGTCGAATTTCTGACTATAAAACTTGTGTGTATTGTTTGTCTTTGTAAATGCATCTTTTGTGTGTGGAATTTCTACCAGTTCTTACTAGAAACGTGCCGCGTGAATTCATTATTCCAGCTCAACCAGGAGGAAATATGTAGATGGTCACATCCACTTCACTGGTATTCAGTAATCATTCTTACTTACTGGCACAATCTAGCTTGTAAAGTTTCTTGCTGTTGGTTGTCATTCTTGAATGAAGGATTAGTATGTAATTTGCGCTGTGTCAGTGGTTTACACTTTTATATATGTCGATTACGTATGTTAGGAACCACGCATGCGCTATTATTTTACTGTTTTAAAATGGAAAATAAAATGATATAGATAAAAACATATATATTATGCCTTTTGTTTAAAATATGGTGTCTAATGCTTACCAAATATCATCTGAGAGCTGGGCCCCCAGCGGCATGTCTGTGGTCTTACAAACTGGGTTTCGATATTCTCGGTGGGCAGAGCACATATATAGCGCATTGTGTAGCTTTGTGCTTAACTACAAGCCACCAGTGCGATTTACCGAAATGTCTGTTCGTTGGCTGTCGCGAAATGTAGGTACCCCGTGAAATTTTCTGATTATACTGTAAAAAACATTATCCATTGAGTATGTGGTATAGTTTAATAACATTTAAAAAAGATGTTAGACATAATGAATACAATCAACAGAACTCGACACTTTTCATGAAATAACGGAAACTTAAACTTTAGAAGTCTTACACAGGGCATGGACACCAAGAAACAAGCTGGGGTCCATTTAAATTACATTGTGGGGTATGTTCACATTCACAAATTACGTATCTGTGTAACCTAGAAGTACTAAATATAACGTGATCGCGTGAACATAATCTGAATTGATATTTCTTCTGTACATGTATATAAGCGCGAATGTGTGGGTCTGTTACTTATGCACGGCCACATCTTTAAAGCTCCAAACTCGGGGAACAGATACAACTTTGTGCGGGAAATAATATGGGCTATGTGGCCGCGGCCTCAGAGGCGCAAATTGAGGCTAAAGTGACCAATATAGCAATTTTTGGCAAACAAGACGACCAATTTGACTCAAATTGAAAAGGCCGGATTTTTTTTTTTTTGGTAATGTGTGATCAAGAGAGCTGTTATTTACTTTTCTTCTGTATGTGAGGATTTCTCCTAATTATTCTATTCATGATCAATTATGTGTTAAAACGATTTAAAATATAGTGGAGCCTTAATTTATGCTCTTTCCCTCCCTATCTCTTTTTCTACATATACATGCCTACTCTCTAACTCATTTTAACTGAATAAAGGCTGGTGCTTTCTCTCGAACATGTGCACACACTTCTTCAACTAAATAGGCTTGCTTCAGCCATATCTTTTGCTTTACTTGCGTGTACTCGCAAGAATAAGCTATACCATGACCTTACAAAAACTTTTGGTATCGGCAAATTTGACACCGCAGAGAAACCTTCCGCTCCAGATTCGTGTCTACTTAGGTGTGACTTAAAGACTTTTGGACCACATGAAATAACAGCTCGTTGTGATAGATCATGTTAACAGTTACGTAAGTGCGTTAGGATTATTATACCATATATTGATAATTATTAGGTGACTCCATGTCTCGTAATAGGTGTTATCGAAAAAAAATTATAAATACAACTGTAAAGTTCATTGTAATACTGTATTAAGAAAACATAAGAATTAATTCATAGTTAAAAGTAAGGATTTTCAATCCAAATTTCTACATTTAGAAGTTCATTGGTCTTTTTTTCGAAGTTCAGCACAACTTTACGTTTGATAAGAGAAAACTCCTACAAAAGATGTTTTTTCATTCAACTCCTAATATTGGAGACTTTCTGCTTTATAAAGGAATATACACGAATGAAAACTTCATATTTAATATTGCTTTAAAATGCGCCCTTTTTTCGTTTTCAAATATTTTTTTTTCTCTTCTCGGAAAAATTTACCCTTGGTATTTTTCACAAATTTTTGTTAAGAATCATTTTTCACGTTATTCTACTGGAAAAAAGCACTTGATGTACGTTTATCCAAAAATAGCTCTTCATCAAAACTCCCAAAATTAAAATCTTGATGTGTCTTGGAAATTCTGACTAACTTTGATTTTACTTTACTCTCGAAGAATAGATAAAGCATGGGAGGACTTTAAAAATAAGTGTTTTCAATTAAAATTCCCAAATCCAAAAGTTCAGTACAGATTGTTTCCAAATTGAAGCTTGTCTTTTATTCTGAATAACAGAAAACTCCTGTTTGATGTTTGCAAGGAATATAATTCTAATGTTTCAGGCTTACTGTTTTTCTTGGAAATGCTCAAAATTGGAGGTTTAACATTTAATTTTGTATTTTTGAAGAAAAAATTTTTCATTAAAATTACGAAGGCTTAATCATTGGTATTTTAAAAAATATTGTTAAAATTATTTTTAATGTTATTTTATTAGAAAGTTGCACTTGATGTACGCTTTAAAAAAAAGAAAGTCCTTTTTTTTTCACCCAAAACTTAATATTTAAACCTTGATGTGTATTGGAAATAATGGATAATTTATATTTTACTTTTAAATTTCCATCAATATTTCCAAATGTAGAAGTTCGTTGCGGCTTGTTTCCAAATTTAGTCCATATTTGTTTTTATTCTGGATAAGAGAAGACTCCTGTATAACGTCTACATTTTTTTATTATTATTAAACTCCAATGCATCAGATTTGACGTTTTATATCCAAAATTGAAGATTTAACATTTATTTTTGCATTAATATACGTACTTTTTTGACGGTTTCTAAAAAAAAAATCAACAGAGCTTAACTCTTGGTATTTTTCATATTATTCTGTTAGAAAGATGCACTTGATGTATGATTTTCAAAAATAATTTTTTCACCAAAACTCCCAAGATTTAAACCTTGACGTGCCTCGGAAATTCTGGCTAACTTTGATTTTACTTTAATAATAATAATAATAATAGAAAAAAAAAAGACAAATCATGGAAGGGATTCAAAGAACAGGAATTTTCAATTGAAATTCCCAAATCCAGAACTTCATTATGGCTTGTTTCCAAATGTGTCCACCGTAATTTTATTTTTGTTCTGGCTAATGATGTCATGATATTTTGGAGAGTTTCTGCAGCACAACATCCAGTTAATTTATAAGCTTACAATACAAAATAGGCATAGTTTAGGCTTTAAGGTAACGAAAATAAAAATTCTGCTTATAGAACTTATGACGGTAACCTTCCATCTCATTAAACGTAGATGAATGCGAAAACTTTGTGATATTTAACTTATCATTTTCTTTAATAAATGTTACAGCCATGTTTGTTTTATTCTGCACCGTATTTCTACTTGGTTTTCTCAAGTGCACCAAATAACTTGAAAATATTATCATCACCGAATATGCTCGCCCTTTCAGCAGTGGGGGCGTTATTATGTGATAGTCAATCCCACTATTCGTTGATAAAATGTTAGCCTAATAAGTGGCAGTGGGTGGTGTTGATTAACTGCTTTGATTCTGGTCTATAACTGCTAAATTAGGGTCGGTTAGTGCAGATAGTCCTCGTGTAGCTTAGCGCGAAATTCAAACCAAACAATCCTAAAAGTATCTCGAGGAACGTCAGGAAATATAACACAGTTAAATCTGAATTCTCTGATTCGACTGAATTGTAGAAAGAGACCAAACACAATGTAAAAAATAAAATAAAAGTGAACCTCGTTAAAATAAAATCAATCACAATGCTGAGCGAACAGGTCGAATAGGTAGCCCTTCAATGGCTTAAGACATGTTCTGGATTAAGAGATCATAGGATTATAAAAAGATATTCTATAATAGCATTCTTCTCAGTGCGCATGCGCCATCCATGTCACTGATGGTATTTCCAATAGAGAAAATATAAGGGGTGGGGTATAATCTCAAGGTATCACCTGACCTTCTAGTGGAAAATATCACCGTCTTTCTTTTAATAGTGTGTTTTACGAGAAACCACACGTGACACCAAAGGGGAATGACCCAGAAGTTCCTGAATAATAATTTGTTAGTCTAACCTGTAGTGAAAGGATGTTAGTCACCTCTCTTGGCCAAGGTTTTATTGCCAAAATTACACATACAGCAAAAAACGTGTATATGCAAAGAAAATTAAAATTTCCTGGTGAACATAAAACATTCACCTTATTGAACTGGAATATGACTGGAAATATGCTATGTGTTTCACATATTTAATTAAACAATAATTGATAATAAAAAATGTCAAGGTATCCAGCTATTTTATCATTCTTGGTAGATGCAGAAACTTAGTTAAACCACGAGAAACAGCGACAATATAATACGAACTTGAATGTTAGGAGGATTAATATTCTGTTCTGTATAAAAAATACTTCCCAGAAAGAAACAATAACATTGTAAGTAGATGGACAAATGTCTCTTAGAAAGAGCTGCTGATTGAGCTTGAAAGCGTGCGAATAAGAAATGTGTAATTATCCTCAAATACAATTTTGGACGTGAGGGTTCTCTGTTGTAGAACTCTGGATTTCTCCAGCTTTAAGTTGTGGGTGTGTATTTTAAGAGTGGAAGTCCATCCCTTAGCGTGAATGATAGACTGCTGGCTAGTTTCCTTTTGATCAGCAGTTCAAAATTGGGGACGGTGGTAGATAGTATTCTTAATATCTTTGCCATAAATACAAGTACCAATTTACTTAATTACTCACACTTGATTCACACTGCCATGGGCAACTATACGAGAAACATTATATAATATTTGTTTTGTCTCGAAAAGTGTGATATTAACGATCTTGGATTTTTGTACTATCACGAAGAAAGGGTATTCCCCTTCAAACTCTTTTTTTTTTTTTATATAGTATATGAGTCAGATAAATACTGAAATGTTAAAACGTGGTTGTTTTTATTCCCCCACTGAAAAGCACCTCATGGCGGAGCATATTGGTTTGCCTCTGTCCCTTTATTCCAATTTTGTTGACACCAA